GAAACATCCGCAACAACAAAGATCCAGCGAATGGGTTTGCGTAAACCCACGTTAAGATAAACATAACTTTTGCCATACGCAGCGATAGGCTTTCCGTTTGCCGCCTGTAGATTTAAAACCGACTCGTGAAGCCTGTCGTTGTAATTCGCTGGGAGAACGCTAATTTCTGCGCCAGTATCGACAAGGTAGCGAACTCTCGTTATCACATCAGTGACATGTAAAAGACGGTTGTGTTCGTCGGCTACGATTGCCATTAATCCGTGCCGGCTTGGAAGTTTCCCGAATTGTTTTTCGTGTCGATTGATTTTGCGTTGAGAAAATTGCAGGGTGTTCAGCAATTTCTGGTGGCCTTTCCATACTGGTTATGATAACAGCACCAGTCAGGATTATCCGTCTCTCGAGGTCTAGATACAGATCGCGTACTTTAAGTGCTTTTTCGTGGGGTTTGTGACCGTCTAAGGTCAGTACAGAGTTTGAGATAACGCATAAGTGTATGACATAACTGTGTTATGTCCTTCTGAGTCGTTTGAGGCTTATCTTTGAATGAGAAAACCTCGGTGTTAGGAGATCTAATGATTGGAGAATGTGTTCGGCAGATGCAGCTAGCTCGTTTAAGGCTTTTTTTCGAACGAGACCAGCACAGATTGCACCGTTCGAGGAAGTTTGAATAAGAAAAGCTGTTTGAACACACAATCATCGGAGATTTTATGGACGGAAAACTCTCGCATTCTTTGCAACATGTCTGTGGCAGAACCGTGTTGCAGGTCGATGTTGTTGAGGAGTTGGTCTCACCTTTTTCGATCGGTTAGATCTCCGCGTTTAAGGATGGCATGTTTCAGGGTTTGGTATGGATCAGAAACATCACTAGTAAACATACTAGGTGTTACGTACCTGTTAAATTCGCGCGGTAGTGCCTTGACTACTGCGAGGAATTGTGTACGTGTATCGTTCACACCGTGCTCGAAGAAGTCGGCTTCTGCGTAACAAAACCAGGCTTCGATGTTGTCTGGCCAGAAAGGCATAAGTTGGAAAGAAGGTGGGGACACAGTCTTTAACTTAAATACTTTAGGTGTTTGTTCAGTCATAGTAATATATCACGTAGGAAAATGAACGAGTGGGAAGTATATATATGCCCAAAACACAGGAAGAATATCACAATGTGTAAAAACAGATTAAAATAAGACAATGATACATAAAATCACAAAAAGGAACAGACTCACAGTTTGCAATTTGGTGTACCAGATCACGTCGGCCTCACCAATGAAGATGCCACAGGTATTCGGAGTTTGACAACGCTTTAACCAGTAACACCTAATATGAAGCATACCCACCAAGTGAAATCAAAAGATAAAAGCGAGGAGGTTCGAAGATATATTTGCTAGGCGCCTTCAGCTAGATGACTCCACTAAAACTGTGGTCAGCATCCAATGTCGAAAACTTACAGAGCTATTTTTATTTTGGCGAATTATTTACCGCTACATCAGTTTACATTAAACGATCACTAAGTAGTGAATGATGTCCTGTACTTTAGTCCTTTGTGCATAAGGAATTTTATTGGTAGAGTTACAGACTGCCAACTCGTCTATGTGAGTCAATGTCCTACTGATAAATACAACAAATAAGGAGTCCCAGATTTAGATTTTATTCTGAAGGGTAGTTTCATGTGATACTCCATGTGGGGTGCAAACTCACGTAAGGGATTTTTCGATCGATTCTTCCGTTTTTTAGCCTAAATAGTCAAACACAACACTGAAAACTGTGATCTCAGTATCGTCCTTGAAAATTGATATTTTTTATTATTTTGCTTACGTCAGTTTTATCGAAGCATCTAATCACATAACTGAAACATACACACATAAGTGAAACCAAGATTCGAATACCACAATTTGTATAAGCAACGGTTCTATTATTTATGAATATACATAAATACGCTGTAAACCTTAACTCGTGAGGTATCTGTAGAGAGTAATGGGTCTGTATGACTGTAATGAGAAATACTTCCTGTAATAATCACATAAAGAGTAATTATAACATACGATAACATAAATTATAACTGGTATCAGTATTTACTGTTAACATCAATACATGAACAACCAAACGAGGTTATGGTGACGTATATTCCGTGAATTTTTGTAACCACATTTTATTGAATATCTGTTGTTTTTCTGTATCACTACAAGGTGTAATAGCACACAAGTCGTCGCATTTAAACAAAGACAAAAGGAATGTGCAATACAAAAAATGGATGTTATAAGGGTTGACAGAAAGTAATTATGATAATAAATAAATATTTGGAAAGTGATTCTCAAAAGAAAAGTTGTTTGAATAGGCCGTCATCGAAGGTTCTTTGGCCAATGACTTCTCGCATTCTTTGCAACATGTCTGTGGCAGAACCGTGTTGCAGGTCGATGTTGTTGAGGAGTTGGTCTCACCTTTTTCGATCGGTTAGATCTCCGCGTTTAAGGATGGCATGTTTCAGGGTTTGGTATGGATCAGAAACATCACTAGTAAACATACTAGGTGTTACGTACCTGTTAAATTCGCGCGGTAGTGCCTTGACTACTGCGAGGAATTGTGTACGTGTATCGTTCACACCGTGCTCGAAGAAGTCGGCTTCTGCGTAACAAAACCAGGCTTCGATGTTGTCTGGCCAGAAGGGCATAAGTTGGAAAGAAGGTGGGGACACAGTCTTTAACTTAAACACTTTAGGTGTTTGTTCAGTCATAGTAATATATCACGTAGGAAAATGAACGAGTGGGAAGTATATATATGCCCAAAACACAGGAAGAATATCACAATGTGTAAAAACAGATTAAAATAAGACAATGATACATAAAATCACAAAAAGGAACAGACTCACAGTTTGCAATTTGGTGTACCAGATCACGTCGGCCTCACCAATGAAGATGCCACAGGTATTCGGAGTTTGACAACGCTTCAGCCAATAACATCTAATACTTAGCGCATCCACAATGTAAAATCAAATGGCAGAAGTGAGGAGATCGTATATATATTTGATGAGCTTTCAATATGTCGAAGATCGTTTGCACTTATCTGGCTAGCGTTTGTGGCAGATGTTGAGCACGGCGTTCCCACACGTGATCTGGTGCCGATGCTTGACCGAGCGCCTTCAGCTAGATGAGTCCACTAAAACTGTGATCAGCATCCAATTTCGAAAACTTACAGAGCAATTTAGTTTCGGGTTTTATTTATCGCTACAGATCACTCCCACATAGTGGCGTAGTGATGACCCTAAGACCTGGCCAGCCAGAAGTTTAAACCTTACGAGTTTTTCGTTGGTAAACACTTCTGATAGCTTGCTAGGTTTAGCAGCGTCTGGTCTGGAATTATTTTGCGCTACAAGAGCAAACCTTCCACTGGTAACACTGAAGCGCAATTTTGGCCAGTTTGACGGAACAACTTTCCACATAATCTTCAACAGTATTATTCGTCTCCATTTAGAATACGGAAACATAGTATTCCCTCTTACACTCCAAAAGGATAAGGACACTCTGGAGCGTATCCGACGGCGAGCCACGAAATCAGTTCGGGGACTCAAATTCGAACCTTATGAAGAGCGCCTCCAATCACTTAACCTTTACCCATTAGAGTATAGGCGTCTTAGAGGTGACCTTCTGATGGCTTACAGTATACTAAACACTTCTGGACATCCTCTTAAACACCTACATAAGTTTAACTCCAACACAGACCTAAGGGGTAACACCCAGAAATTGGAGATATAACATAGCAGAACGGACTGTATACACAACTTCTACTCCTTAAGAGTTGTCAAATGCTGGAATTTTCTGCCGGTCGAGCTAGTCCAAGAGATTTCTCAGGAGTCCTTTAAGAGGAAACTTGATTTATTCTTGAGGACTAAGGATAGTATCTTACTATGATTTACCAATTTCTTCTTTACAAAATCTATTATAATTAATATACCTATGTTCCTGCCTGCAGTGCTCAGCTACTAGATACGGAAGCCCGTTAAGTGAAAGCTACTTATTTTCCATTCTGAAGCATTCAAACCACTTTTGAACCAAGAGGAACCAAGAGGACATACAGGCACTTCAGGAGGATCTGACTCGACTTCAAAGTTGGGCAGATAATAACGGACCTACCTTTAACACTTCAAAGTGTAAAGTAGTCCATCTGCGACACGTCGCAGATTACAGTTACAACTTAGGAAACTCCTCTCTAGTAGTATCCCGAGTCGAAAAAGATTTAGGAGTTCTGGTGCCCTACGACTTAAAGTCTTACACTAACTGTGACAAAAATGCCTTTCGAGCAAACCTTGCACTGGTAACATTGAAGCGCATTTTTGGTCAGTTTGACGGGAGAACTTTCCACATAATCTTCAATAGTTTCATTCGTCCCCATTTAGAGTACGGGAACATAGTATTCCCTCCTACACTCCAAAAGGATAAGGACACTCTGGAGCGTATCCGACGGCGAGCCACGAAATCAGTTCGGGGACTCAAATTTAAACCTTACGATGAGCGCCTCCAATCACTCGACCTTTACCCATTAGAGTATAGGCGTCTTAGAGGTGACATTCTAATGGCTTACAGTATCCTTAACACTCCTGGACATCCTCTTAAACACCTACTTAAGCTTAGTCCCAACACTAACCTAAGGGGTAACACCCAAAAACTGGAGATACAACATAGTAGAACGGACTGCAGACACAATTTCTACTCCTTAAGAGTTGTCAAATGCTGGAATTCGCTGCCAGCTGAGCTAGTCCAAGCAACTTCCCAGGAGTCCTTTAAGAGGCGACTTGATCTATTCTTAAGGACTAAGGATAGTATCCTACTATGATTTACCAATTCATTTTCTTTCTCTTTTATCGTTAATATACCTAGGTTCTTGCCTGGAGGTATTGGTGATCCCCTGCTACTAGACACGGAAGCCTGTTAAGCGAAAGCTTCTTCTATTCCGTCCGCAACCATTTGAACCATTTGAACCATTTGAACCGTTTGTACCATTAGTACGCCAAAATGAATAACGCGCTGCGGTTATCTCGTTTGGTTTTGCAGTCGGCTGATTCTTCAGTTAAATCTAGTATGGTGATCTGCCATGGTTTATTGGGTTCCAAGAATAATTGGAAGAGTATTTCTAATGCGTTTGCCCAGAAAAACTGTGGAACTGTATGTGTATAAATCGTAATCGTTCACTCATAGATTGTGGCCGTAGATTTACGTAATCACGGAAGTAGCCCACATTCCGATGATATGAACTATTTTAATATGGCTGAAGATATACACATGGTTGTAGATGACCTCAGCCTGCGGGGAGTATGCTTGGTTGGCCATAGTATGGGTGGCAAAGCGGTTATGTGCGCAGCTCTAATGAAAGTAGTTATCTTTTAAATGATTATTAGCCAGCCAGAAAGGTATGATAAGTTGGTTGTTTTTGACATATCCACGACACCAAAAACTACTATACAATCTCTTACACCTATAATAGATCTAATGTCTTCTGTGGATTTGAAAGTTTTGGGACACAAAAACAGTGGGAATATAGTAATGGTCCGAAACTCATTAATGAAAGAATGGTATAAAACAGTCCCAGTAAGTAAAAAATCTCTTCCATTCAGTATTTTTGAAAGCTATGTTGGATTGCTTATGATTCACCTGCACGTGTTCAAAATTTAGTGATAACCGCTTGTTGAGTTTCTGGAGAAGAAACGTAGCTGCAGAAAGTGCTAATGTTTTACGTTTTGAAATATGGTTGGGAAGGAATTGGATATTTATTCGGGAAGTGTACTATAAATTATTGCTATCACAGGTTGCGTACATTTTTTATTGTACATATATTACAGTTAAGAGTAGTATTATAGTTATAAATTAGTGAATTTTGACCTCAGAACAATACTGAATTTCAGATACTTGCGTGGTCCGGTTTTGATGTCGCTTTCTTCAGCAAAACAACTTATTCTAATTCAGACATTGTGGCTCGGATATATGGTCCAGGTCGAATGAATATTAAGACCTCTACTGAGGGAAGTAGGATTAATTAATTTATGGAGGGCTTCGGCTACTCGCCTTTCTTTGTAGTTGAAAAAGCCTTTTTCTGTTATTTTGATATATTGAATATGGATTCGATGGTTATTAAAATTGGCATGGGCTGCTATTGCCGATCTAATTTGGAGCCTTGCCGGTCCCAAATGATTATTAGGTGGTTTCCTTGTGTATTCAAGATGTTCTTTGACCCGGGTCATGATTTCATGAGATGACTTTTCAATATAAAATGCATCACAATCGACTTATCCTAATTTGTAGACGCGCTTCTGCGTTGACATAAAGGGGCTTTTTCCTTCATACGAACTAAAGCATTTCGGAGGATGATAGTTGTATTGTAGTATGCTTTGACTCTGTGTTATTTTAAGACTGAAGTTCTATTGTACCATAGTGGTATGGTAAAACCATAGTACCAATCCATGTTATTCCATTCGGATTATTATTATTTAACAGTAAGACGTCTCGTTTTATTGCACTTTTATTAATCTCAATAGAAAGAATTATTAAATTGTAGGATGTTAATTATATGCCTTTGTTCTTTTCGTTTCCCTTTTCAGACGTGATAATCTTGTTTTATCTTTCAAAGAGATTTAGGGATAGATAGATTTTTGCACTGAATGGAAGTACTGAATTAAAGTCGATATAAAGATTTGAGTGCGTTGGTTTTAGGTAGATGGTTGAATTTAGAGCTCCACTTAGATATCTTTTAACCAAACAATTTAAAAATTATAGCTCACCGTTTTTATTTTCATTATTATTATTACCAATGACTTTATTCAATATTACACTTTTGGCACAATATAATATCTTCAGCACTAGGTATTTCAGCAAGTTGCTTATACAAAAAAAAAAAAAAAACGCAGAAAGCTGGAGAAACTGGTAACTGCATACATATATACATAAGTTAAATAGATAAACTACCTGAAATTCAGTGAAATGTTTTTAAAGAAGATTTGAATCTGTACAACACTTTAATTGGAAAAATGTTTAAGGCTACAAGTTATCGACTAGGTCAACTCTAACAACTTGTTCGTTACATAGTATATTTGTTAGATAAGGTATTGTAGAACTTTCCTATCTTTGCTTGGGTGCATGGATTCTGATGTATTGATATACAAGGAGAAAGATGTGAACGAAGTGGATGGTTAGTATCTGATAAGATAACGCCTGCCAGGAGTTTGCAAGATTTTAGATGTGTATCAGCATCCATATTAATAATGACTTCCAAAGATTCACCACATACCGTGCTAACTACCTTCAGAACTTCAAGTGTTTTGGACGACATCTTAAAGTTATGCAGTCGATAAAGTCATTTGAAGACTTAAAACATGAAGAATTAGATCGACACCAGTTCACGTTTACAAATGTAACTACACTGCCATGACACCTAATCTTACTGCTTGAACAGTCCTGACGATAGATATTGAGATATTGTTGTGATACTAAGCTATCGTCTTGTAGATATTTTAACCAAGATTCTTGTGATTACACTATGATTACGATACATGTTTTGATGTTTTCAGTCACTTAACTCGTCCCAATATTTAGGACTTGATGAAATTCCAAACCTTTTAAAAGTGCTGACGTTCTGTGTTATACATTCACGAGCACCTTCAACAAATCCTTCTCAACTGATTCATGCCGAGAGTGTGAAGAAAAATAATCTCAATACCTAAGAAAGTATCTAGTGATAAGAATGTTAAATTTAAACTCATAGCGATAACAATGAAAAATTTACTGCTATTCCCACTTCAACCTGCACTAAAAGGGCACATTGATCTGTACCAGTTCGCTTCCGAATGCAAAGGAAGCACCCGAAATACTGCTATTGTTCTGCATCATAGTATAGTGTTTAGCTTGGAAAAGGGTAAGAATTATGTTCTGTGTGCTTTTTCTGGACTATACTTCTGCCTTTGACTCTATTCCAAGACAACTTCTACTGAACAAGTTAATGTTGGATAACCGACTGGCTATGTTCCTACCTCTTTGGAAGAGAATAGTACACTATGTTTGGAGGAAAGTTTTCAATGTCCTTACTGTCTTATAAAGGTGTGTTACAAGGAGCTGTTCTACCCCCTCTTCGTTTCCCATTTTTTCTGAATGATCTACCATCTTCCACAAAAAAACACTTTTGTTAAGTATGCGAACGATCTCACTTCATGTATGTCGATTTCTATTTCTTCACATTCCCTTGAAATGAATGAGTCCTTGTCTCTTATTGAATAGTGGTCTGTTGTTAATGGTCTCACACTTAACCCGTCTAAATGTCATACTGTTAACATTAGCCTGAGCCATGAACAACACCTAAACCCTGTTGGAATCTTAGTGTCCAAAGTGTAATTTATGGTTTCGGATTGATATGTTATTATCCGACATATTATTCAAATGAAAGCCTACATTTTGAGGTAGAACAATCTACAGAGCCGAAATGAACTTTACTCACCATTTTTCACATTGTCTTGTGAGTTCAGTCAATTATCACATAACTTTTCCAGTTGAATGACAGCCAGCGTCATACCTGGCTCTATTAACTAATGGGTTGTGACTGATGTGATTCGGTAAATTTATGTAAGAGTAACAATGTATCGACCTGCTAAATGTAAGATGAGTTTGGTGCATAAGAAATTATGGTTAGTATCCAAATGACGTCTAAAAGAAACCCAAGGTTTGTATTCATCAGGACAATTGATTTTTGATTGGAGTATGACTTACTTGAGTCCATTTTGAGTCTCAAATAGAGGACTGTATGTATTACATCAACAATATCTCTATCGTACGTTGGAACTGGAAATAACTAGCCTGTAATCTGTTTTGAACTTTAAAACACGATTTACGTCATTTGAAATGCAAACAACAAGCTATCGTTAGCCGTAAACATGATGTTCCCTTGTGCCTATACATCCAAACGGCACATATAAGTCCATAATTTTCGTCATAATATTTGATGAATAGGTATGGAAAACTTGATTTTGTCCTTTATGCTATCTACTTAACCACAGGTTAACAGAATTCATCGTTTGTTAACCCGGTTTCTTACTGTGATTGAACTTTCTCTTTTGTCGGCTAAATTGTGTTGACGGAAGTTCGTTCGTTTAGTATTGCCTCAACTTGTGGCGGAAGATATTGATGTATTTATTTATTTATATGAACACATAAATATTGGTACAAAGGGGCACTGAATACATATGCGCCACACAAGTCACTTGATTTATGTATAGACTGTGATACTGCCCGGGCGCCCAGACCGGAGCAAGTGGTTTTCTTAGGGGGGTACACCCGGAGCCTTTGACCTAAAGGTCTAATCCACAAGGCAGTGGAGCAGCATCAGGAGATGCAATCCCATGGTAGCCGGCGGCCAACGATTGGTTCATACGCCATTTGTTCCCTCAGGATATTGTAGCCCATACGCACCATTCGTTTGTAATCAAGGTTTCCCAACTCCCCAAGGTGGATCCTCCGTATCCATGACGTCGGTTAAAGCACCGGACATTTTCTTTTCGTTCTCTGAACATCGTAAACAGCATCCCTGTCACGAGAAGACAATAAATAGGACTTCCTTGGCACTGGCTGTATGCACGTGGCCATGTGAGAGCATTGCGTGAGAGGGAGTGGATTCTTCCCACCCTCGGCCTATTCATGTTAGCTCTTGTGTATTGTTATGAACTTCAAGACACTTAAAGTTTATAAACCATCTAATAGTAACTAACATCATATTAGTTAATCTTTATTATAAATTGTATTCTATTTATCATGTATATATAACCTGGTCAAGTGTAGGTCACTCAATATCGCAGTGTATCACATTTGATATTTAATGTGTATGTAGTCAAGAGGAAATTGTAAACTATATATATATATATATATATATATATATATATATATATATATATATATATATATACTTCAAATTCGTTCGCTGAGATTTTACAAATACATTCTTCCTCTTTAATGTCTCACATTAACTCGGCGCCCATATATTGTCAAACTATTCGTTCAAATTTAGACGAAAGTTCTTATTTATTATTCTGCAATAGTTTTGTATTTGTTGGTACTCAGTATTACACATAAAATCGAGGTCTAGAGTTATCCATAAATCAACTAAATCTACATTACAAATTCATGTCGTTTTGACTCCCTTGTTTTACGTCTTTTTAAGTAGCATCTATATGTCTCTTATATATTAATATTCAGGAATTTCTTTCTTGATAAACAGCAGTTTTCTAATTGAATGTCATAATTTAAGATAAATCATCAAATTTTTTAGTTTTATTTTGTGTAGAATCCTACAATGCGCGCGTTTCTTCTAACAAATCTTGGAGAAAAAGATGGAGAGATATTTTGGAAGGTGAATCTCAAGGCAATTAAGAGCTGTTGGAATCAGATAACAGACTTTCCTGAGGAATTGAGTGGTTGTGTTTTCGATCAACCTGTGTTGTTTGTTGCAGCAAGCGATGGAAAGTATTTAGGGTAAGTCTTCTTAACTTGTAATAGCATAATATAGAATTTCTAAAATATAGCTTCCCGTGAAGACTTGCTAAAATTGTTATAAATATATGTTTACGAATAATTGATTTTCCGAATGACAACACATCCTTGTGTTAAAGTGGAAATCAATGTTTTAATATTAAATAAAAATGTTCTTTTGACAAAATTATATTTTGAAGTGATGCATTATATCAGTTAATGGTATGAAGAAAATTTAAAGAGAACTAAAACTTAATGTTACTCAACACGTGTTTATATAATCTTTAGTTTAAATAACTCATTCACCAGGTGCCTGGGTATTAGTTATAATCCAAGTGGTCGTTCCAATAATACTATCCAGTTACTCATACCAAAGTAGGCGGAATGAGGTCTCAAACCTGCAACCGGAAGTCGCATGTCTTAACCACTAAGCCACCGCTTCAACATATTCGTACAGTTAACACTGTCCTATATTATATCCTTGTTTGAGACCTAGATCCTTTCCCGAAATTTTAGTGAGAAGTTGTAACTAGTAGAGTTTAACCATACTGTGTATGGTATCAGATGTTCATCAGACTATATCTTAAATTGAATGAAGTTTGAAATGTATATTATTAGATCTTAATTCAGTGTTTCAAAGGTTAAATATTTGTTGCCATATTTAAAAGTTTCCAATTCGATTTCATATGAATTGGGGGGGGCTTATTGTTTAGCTTAAAAATAAAAAGGAAGAGCTGTCCTGTGTTTTTTGATTTTCAATTATTCTGTAGCAAATCTCGACCAATGATCAGGAAATATTTTCAACTTGAACTAGTCTCCACAAACTTTGCAACTACTTCATTTTAATTTTGTCCTGTTTTTTAATCAGTATGTTCAAGAAATCAATGTCAATAGCAAGTATATTACTAAAGTCCACTAAGAGGTATGCACATGATTTTAATTTTACTACGTTGAAACTAAATTTGCTGAACAAAATTTCTTCATCCGACTGACTTAATTTTTTGAACTGAATTAAGTATCACCACAAATTCACGTTTTCGTGTCCCATAAAACATAACCGTAATTGGGTATTTGTTCATTACTTTGATTGCTGGTGATTGAAGAGGAAATCGTAAATCTGAATCACATTTGGATTTATTTTCTTACTGAAGTCTATGTGACTTTGGTTTTGTTACAAGACATTTATCGTACTTCATGAATCATTTTTGAACAGCATAAATATCTTCAATTTTTGGACTTACGATATTTTGTATTATAATTAGACTTTTTAAGCATTTAGACTTATACGTTTTATTTTATGTACGTGATATCACACTCTACTGATATTGTTTACGGGTTTATGAGTAGCAGAGTAGCATCGCTCATGGATGGTCATATACAAACTATGGTTTAGGTTAGAGCTTACGAACGTCTACTTTGTTGTAGAGGATTACACTACTTTTATTACTTAAGGGTTAATCCACTGTTAGTTAACATAGCACATAATGAAAGATTATTTCCCGTGTTGGCCAATGAGTCTGTCATCAACGTAGATCGTGATGCTAGTGTACATCGGACAAGTATCTAGCTACTTCACTATATCCAAATCACTACCATTTTTTCCTTGTTCATGAAGCCTGTCTACATGATCTGTTTTACTGATGCTATTATCTAAGATTCTTTTCCTCTTTTTATGAATCTAGTTAATTATTTTGTCTGGTTTATCTAGTCTTTCAATTCAAGTGCCTCTACTGATACCTTGCAAACACTTTACACCAATTAACTTTATTTTTGGGCTTGGTCATATGAAGGAAAACAGTACTAAGTGTCGTGAATAGACATTATAATCATAGTAAGTTATTTACATATATATGTAAAGGCTAGAATACCACTTAAGCGTTGAAACCGGGTATTAACACTGATATTTACATAAAATATGGCCTATAGTCAAGTATATACAGTATACTTGCTAAATAAGTAATATATTAAGTGTTACATAAAGACAATGTTTAACTGTCAATATTGTTGATGTTTCATTAAAATGTTCTTTTTATATCATTGTTCTTTATAATGTTCAGACAATCAGATTTACCAGCTGTACGCGAGTATTTCCCTCAAGCAAAAATTGTTCAGGTTGCTAATACTAGTCATTGGGTTCACTTTGACGCTCCAAATACAGTAATCAACTTGATTACATCTTTCATGTTAGATAAATCATTTGATCCTACCTCATTTGCAGATGTTAAAGAGATTAAATAACAACGAAAATGATATACTATCATTATATAATCGATAAGAGAAGGAATACAAACTTATTTCTATGGTTTTTGTTTTTTTGATAATTCTTCGATTGTTGTATATTGAAATTGTCATAAAGTGGTTTAGTGTTATTTATTTATGTCATTAAAGTTGCCTGCAGATCTGATTAATGTGACTGGCATTTTGAAATAAGTAAACTAATTAGTAGACTTTCAAAGTTGTTTCTGGGTTGTAAGGTGATGAAGAGGATTCGCATCTAATGTTTACAGAAAATGTCTAGCGTTCACTTCGTCCTATGCGTGATTTAGTGAATCTTCGGTCATATTTAGTCCCAGAATCTAATATAACAGAAGACCGATTTCCGAATCTATCAGAGGTAAAACGATAAAATCAGCAATAAATCCACAACCGCAAGTAATAATAAGTGTTGTCATCTGGGTAAAAGATCCTTCACCAAGGTTATGCTTGCTGAGACATTTAAACCTGAAAAATAATGTGGAAGCAGACTTCACCGAGTGTAAAACTTGACTGTTCTTGCTAAATTAAATAATCGAGAGTTTTATGATTCTACCTGACGACCGATGTTCACTATGTAGATCCAAATAAACGAATCTCTTCAATTTCACCCAAAACTAAACAGTCCAGAATTGAAATCCTAAGCGAAATTATTTGTCCAAAAAAAGGCTAAACTATCACGTGATGGGTCAGAGATGATCCTTATAACTTATTCATAAAGAAAGTGAAGCGGGATGCTAGTGTATGGAGCCGACATCAAAACCATGCCTTAGGGATAATTCCATGAATTTTTTTATATCTCCCAATTGTTTGGCTTTCGTTAAAACGTTGAAGCCTCAAAATTTCTGGTAAATAACGCTATTTCATATGTATAATTTAGTGAATAGAAAAAGCAATTATCTACCTCAACTTTCAATTTTCGTTCTAGACCGTTATCGTCCTTTTTTTAATTTCCATTTGTTGGACTGTTTAGAAGTAGAGTTGCTTAAACTTTCGACCTTATTGACTGCGCTTTAACTTATTGGCGGATCAATATTTAAGTTTATTATCTGATTCTGTGGATGCAATCTACTATGCACATATTCAGCATAATGATCTTGTATCGCAGAATGAAGGAAACGCTTTCCGACTAGCTAATGTAAAAGTTTGTGATCATCGAAATCCTGAAAATCCTATATTTGTTAGGATTGCATAATGTTAAGCTGTTTTAAATATATGATAATTTGTAAAATTATCATTGTCAATGCACACTTTCAGATTATAAGAACTTGTACATCTTAGGAAATATTCTCACAAAGTTAAAGAGTGAAGATAGATTTGTATTTGTACATCTTGCGTTTACATTTTCTATGTCAGGCCATGTACCATTGGAATTTTCTAACAATCACTTCACGTTAATATCTTTCTCTGTAATCGTAAATAACTGACAACATACCTTCAACTGTAATCATTATGAGTCACTCCCTCCACTTAAGCTCTTAATTAAGATCTTACCGTAGTCTTTTTAAAACTTATCTAATCAAAAATACAAGAGATGTGGGGTTTCTTTCTTTATAATAATAGTCAAGCTCTTCATTTAGTTCCACAGGGAGTGCTCATAAGTACAGTTTTACATGGTTAGTTTCCCATGATAAATCCTTGTAAATGAAGAACAACAAGCATGCTGTTGCATTTCCTGCATAAGCACTGATTTTATAAGTAAAATATTTTCAATATATGATTTTATTTATAACATGTATCACGTAATTTATTTTATTGTTGAAGAACAAATATATATATCGTACAAATTAAGTGTATAGTGGAACTGAATATGAGAGGAAACGATATGTCTTAATTGATCACAATGAATATAAACAAATTGTTGATAATACGTTAGCCAGATTGATAAAACATAATAATGGTAATAATAAAAGGCTGTTAAAGTAATCAAAATAATGGCGACAATAATACTCATAATCGTATTAATGAAAATTGGTTTAAGAATTCTGAGTACACATAAATAGTTGAGTGGATACATTAATTGTGTAAAACAGTTGTAATTACTTTTCAATGGTAAACTAAGTCACCTTGTATGTGTTACATAAAATAATTACATTTGACCAACGCATATAAGCGAACAATATTATTTTCAATCTGATCATCATTCGACTTTAATAAACATGAATATTTATATGAGTAAAGGGAAAAAATGGTCGCAAAATTTCGTGGGTTGGTTGGGGTTAGACATTAACACCATTGGATGCCGGCTCAATGGTCCAGTAGGTTAAGCGATTGCGCGCGAGACTGAAGGCTCTGGGTTGGAATCCTGCAAGTGGGGTCGTGGGTACGCACTGCCGAGGGGTCCTCCAGTAGGACGAAACGGCCATCCAGTGCTTCCAGGTTTTCAATGGTGGTCTAACATCAATCGGTTCGTGATCTCAATCAACTCCACAACTCCTTTACTGATATTCTAGTTTATTTGAGTCAATGATCACAGTGAATTATAACATGACTACACAATAGTTAAAAACTACAAATTGGAACTAAGTCAAACTTCGTTAGGTAGATTTCGCAATAAAAGTCACAAAAGATTAGTAGGGTTGTTTTTTAAGTCACATGTGACCAAAGGAGATTAGAAAGTATCACGTATACAAATTATGGGTCGGAAACCCCATAGCTTTTCCCATGCGCATTTTATTTACTGTGTGGATTCATTTAGTCTGCTTCACTGACTCATCCCTAAATGGTTTAATATTTTCATTCATTTATAAATATTCATGTTCATTGGAGTAAAGCCTAATGATGATCTGATCGAAAACAATAGTGTCCGCTTATATGTTGTAGATCACCAGCGTGGATGATCTATGTCGAAATGATTGGAGGCTTACTCGAGTTAGACGTGAGTGGTGTGACAAACTAGCTAACGTCGAAGTCACACTTCGCGGTCTGCACCTTACATAGATTGCCCCATTGACGTATCAAAGTACTATAGATGCTTTGAAGACTGTACAACACAGGACGTTATTACAGAAATATATTGGTTAAAGTAGATACAAGCGAAGGTAAGACCACTGCCGCATGGGCCAGTCCATGGCGTACGATTAACTGATGCGCGTTGGTTGTCCTTGACATTGACGAGGATTGATGATTTTGTTCGATATTCAATAGCTAGGGCTCAGTGGAATTTCACTGGCTCTACAATGTATTGTTTGAATTTTCACGATGGTGCTCTTAAGTGTTTTAAAATCACATTTGTAAAATGTTTTATTTATTTCAAATGGATGTTAACATAGATTTAGAGTACATGAAAAGAAATAACTTCAATCCATTCCATAAATGTGAATATTCGTTCTTTACAAAATAGTTTCAGTTTGATTTTAAAATAGTCCAAAATGACGCAGTCATCCATATATAGATTGTTTTGTATTTTAGTAAATTCACTTTAACAGATGCTTACCTGAATATGATTTCATTAAGCAAAACAATTTACTTCTGTTTAGTTGGTTGGAGAAACTCTCCATAATGTTCCATTTACGATAACATAAACAACTTTTCTTTTGAGAATCACTTTCCAAATATTTATTTATTATCATAATTACTTTCTGTCAACCCTTATAACATCCATTTTTTGTATTGCACATTCCTTTTGTCTTTGTTTAAATGCGACGACTTGTGTGCTATTACACCTTGTAGTGATACAGAAAAACAACAGATATTCAATAAAATGTGGTTACAAAAAATCACGGAATATACGTCACCATAACCTCGTTTGGTTGTTCATGTATTGATGTTAACAGTAAATACTGATACCAGTTATAATTTATGTTATCGTATGTTATAATTACTCTTTATGTGATTATTACAGGAAGTATTTCTCTTTACAGTCATACAGACCCATTACTCTCTACAGATACCTCACGAGTTAAGGTTTACAGCGTATTTATGTATATTCATAAATAATAGAACCGTTGCTTATACAAATTGTGGTATTCGAATCTTGGTTTCACTTATGTGTGTATGTTTCAGTTATGTGATTAGATGCTTCGATAAAACTGACGTAAGCAAAATAATAAAAAATATCAATTTTCAAGGACGATACTGAGATCACAGTTTTCAGTGTTGTGTTTGACTATTTAGGCTAAAAAACGGAAGAATCGATCGAAAAATCCCTTACGTGAGTTTGCACCCCACATGGAGTATCACATGAAACTACCCTTCAGAATAAAATCTAAATCTGGGACTCCTTATTTGTTGTATTTATCAGTAGGACATTGACTCACATAGACGAGTTGGCAGTCTGTAACTCTACCGATAAAATTCCTTATGCACAAAGGACTAAAGTACAGGACATCATTCACTACTTAGTGATCGTTTAATGTAAACTGATGTAGCGGTAAATAATTCGCCAAAATAAAAATAGCTCTGTAAGTTTTCGACATTGGATGCTGACCACAGTTTTAGTGGAGTCATCTAGCTGAAGGCGCCTAGCAAATATATCTTCGAACCTCCTCGCTTTTATCTTTTGATTTCACTTGGTGGGTATGCTTCATATTAGGTGTTACTGGTTAAAGCGTTTTCAAACTCCGAGACGGATAATCTTGGCTTGTGCTGTTATCATAACCCGTTTGGAAAGTCCACCAGAAATTGCAGAACACCCTGCAATTTTCTCATCGCAAAATCAATCGACACGAAAAACAATTCGGGAAACTTCCAAGCCGGCTCGGATTAATGGCAATCGTAGCCGACGAACACAACCGTCTTTTACATGTCACTGATGTGATAACGAGAGTTCGCTACCTTGTCGATACTGGCGCAGAAATTAGCGTTCTCCCAGCGAATTACAACGACAGGCTTCACGAGTCGGTTTTAAATCTACTAGTGATGTTTCTGATCCATACCAAACCCTGAAACATGCCATCCTTAAACGCGGAGATCTAACCGATCGAAAAAGGTGAGACCAACTCCTCAACAACATCGACCTGCAACACGGTTCTGCCACAGACATG